CGGCGACAACATTTTTGTTTCTCTCTTATCAACGAGGGCTGCGTATAGATATTCCTCCCTACGCTAAACCGGCTGGAAACAGCAGACGTGAAAAAATACACGATATCCCGCGGTTGGTCGAAAGAGTGCCGTCAAGAATAACCGTAGTTGCAGTACTGACCACCGTTAGGTCTCACCTTGAATCTGTTGGCGTTTCGCATGCAGCCTTCCTCGGTCAGGGGGAAGTCAAATGCCCCAATCGCAGGCGTCTCGTTGATGGCATCGATCACTTGCCACAAGATGTCGAACGTGACCGCCCTCGACAAGCCAAACATGAGGGCAACATCCCAGTAACTGCCGCCAGCCAGGATCCTCAACGCCGCGGCAACGCGGACTTCCACAGCTATGGCGCCGTTGGTTGGCGACCGCAGTGCTGTGGGGTTTCNCAAAGGATGAGCGTGTGTCGTTGAGGACAGAAGTACGAGTGTCAAGGGGGGCATGTTTGCAATCGCCAGCACCTAGTTTAGCAACCTACGACGGGGGACGCATGTTCTCCGCAAACTCGTCAGATTGCCGGCCCAATCCACCTATGTACTACGGTACGGAGACGGCTCTGTGTTCATCACCTACATACGCATTTTGCAAATGATGAGCACGTGTCGATAGCTGTTGTGTCATTGCGGGATACGACAATCTGTATCGGCTCCCGACGAGGCTGTATTTGTTTAGTGGGGCCGGCGTGTACTGTACGCCCTGTGAATACTGCTGCACAGTAGTAGTGAGCGTCACGAATAGTACCTTCGCCTTTAACCCATACAATGACCGCTGCTGTACAAAGTATGTGTCTACTGATGTATGCATATCGTACAATACTGCTGCTGCGCTGTACGTACCCTGCTGCCGCATGTTCGACGAGCGAGTATGCATTTTTTTAAAAGGCAGCAGGAACATACAGCAGTGTAGTCTTTGTACAGCACATGTTATAGACTTGTGCTCTTCCCCGTTGCTTTCTACATACACACCAGAAGAACCCTCATCACGCATACCTGCCGTGGGCGGCTGCATCTACACATCAACACTCACCGCCGAAGAAAGCGTTGACTTCCAGCGAAGGGCGGAGTAGCTCGACAAGCTTGTGGAAACTGCCTTTCTCCATGCGGTACGACCGCCGCCACCCGTGCCGTTTATCGAGGTCCGCCTCGTGTTGAGCCCACGGAAGACGCTTGGGCTCGTAGATGGGCTCCCGTTCCTGAGGGCAGTGGGCACGATGAGCCTCTCCTGCTGCCACGACGCCCGCCGCCACTACTACGGCCCTCACAAGACCCAAGACTGTGAATCTCTTGTCATGGGCTACATCCTCCTCGTCGATAGCTCGCCGACGGCGCTTCTCCCGGCGTTGCGCTGCGATCCCCCTGGGATCTTGACGCTTCCCACGCTCAGGCATGGTAGTGGAGTTGCCTTGGGAAGCACTTTGGGGTGTTGTTGGTGCTGTCTAGGTGTGGTGTGATGAAGACAGCACGCGTGACCGGTGTCTGCTCCGGTAGTCGCAAAAAAGCGGGAAATTTTTCACCGAAACGTAAAAGGAGCAAGCCCAGAAAAAATACGCTTCGCTCTTTTTACGGAAACGTAGAGGAGCGCCTCCATATATTTCAAGAAAATACGGTTTCGTAACCAAATACGTATTTTCTTGGCCTGATAAGACACACCCTAAGGCGTTTTTTTTGTTGTTGCGTGTGTTGTTTTCGCGGCATGAATCCGGGCTTGCTCTTGAGCGTGTGCATTGCCTAAATAGCTAAAAAAAACGGAGGTCGATTTATTTAATCCTTCAAGTAAGGGCCAGGACCAGCACGTGGGCCACCATTCATGCCGTAATCTCGAACGTGTGCTCATGCAAGCCCCCACAAACGTTTCGCTCAACGGCACACGAACAACAAATCGATTTATCAAATTGGCCTTTCGTTAGTCCCAGCACCCACGAGATTCAACTGTTGTCCTACATATGCCGCCACGCGTTTCCCTCTATCTGCTCGTACGCTTCAACGTCATCCTCCATAAAACTACCTTAAACCACGCCTCCACTCAAACCCAACTCGGCGTCCCTGGTGGAAGAATCAAACATACCCGGCAACTGTTCCTCGTCGCTGTCGCTGTCACTATCTTCATCCATGTCCACTAGCCCTCCCTCAGCTGAACGATCTTCCTGCTTCCGTCTCTTCCTCGCGGCATGTAAGCTTGCACTTGCACAACTCTGAGCATTGGCCAGAACCTTTAGTGATGCACACGCAGCTTGTGCATCGACCCCCTCGCTTCCTCTTCCCAGATGAACACTTGCACCTTACCGTTTCAAATCCACCCGGCCAAATAGTAACCTTAGGGAACCTGCGCATCAACATCATACAACCACCTTCAACCTCCGTGTTCTCGATGTACCCCATCCCGTCCCGTTTGGGAACTTGAATGGGGTACCTGGCGGAGACGTCCGAACCTGGAGAACCACTCGGCACAACGGAAAGCCAGTATTTCACCAACCACGACATCCAGACAACGCAAAGCTCGGTGGCATCGTAGTTCGGTGCGGTTTTGTTGAGGTTCCCGGCACCGTACCATTTTTCAGCAGTTCGCTCCTGAATTACTTGTACCCACTGCCTCGTATCATCGACCTCCCCTCCCCGTTTATCTCCCGTGACTTGATGCCCGGTAACGCGTTAGCATACAAACTTTTGTTCTTGACGAAGTACGCAAGCGCAACAAACTTGACCAATTCTTGCCTCTCCAAATGTAAACCGGTGACCACCCCATCCTCTATTATTTCGCTGCCCAGGGCCTTGACAAATTGGTGGTTTTCGGGATTCTTCGCTAACTGAAGTATGACTGGAACATGAAAAAAGAAGTCAAGCCAAAACACGTAGGAGTAAAGCCAGTACCGTTGAGCATGTATGATGCAATCACCGGCAAGCACCTCTGCAAATCGGTGAACGAATGCGGCCACTTCCCCATTTTGGTCAGGGCCTCGAAAAGCTCAAGCACGTCGATGTAGTTAACGGGGGCTTGATCATTCAACCCGCTCTGTTGTAGCATGATCACTCGAACCCTTCGAATGCACGGGTAAAGGTCATACGCGAGAAGGGTCGCCACCCAAACGTCCGTGTCGACAGATACAACCTCCACCCGAACGGGTGGTGTTTCCCCTTGCCCCCCCTGGTTGATCTCGGAGCTACTACCGTCACCCTCCCCCGTCAGCGGCCTCTGTAGTTGACCCACCAGGTAGGCGTGGTGAAGTGCCTGGAGTTCGCCTTCCCCTATACCGTTCCCCTCGTCACCAATAATAAAACCGTCTTTGCCGTTGTGCCACGACTTCAAATTTGTTGTCTCCAAAAAATCTTGGGATAGGATGGGCCCACCGTCGATCCGCAACCTCAAGTTTCCCAGACAATGCTCCGACCAGGTCATAGCCGTGTTGTTGGATTTTTTGTCGCGTATACGTTCGAAGTCCCCACGAATGAACTGGCATAAAACAGAAAAAACGCCGTCACGGTGCTGACGGTTCTTCAGGAAGTCCTGCCACTCACCCCGAGGTGCCGTGCGATCATCTAACCCAATCCGCCACTCTTTCTCCTTGCACAAGGGCTCATGAGGCTTTTACCGTGCCCCCTTCGAACTGGGAAACAGCCCCCGCTTTTTGTGGGCAAAGCTCTTTGGCTTTGGCACCCGACTCCGCTTGTCGAAATTGAGAATTTCCTGCGCGGAATACAAGTTTTGTGCGGGACATGGTTAACCAACCACACATACTGCAGGGACAATTTTTCTCCAACCGTACACGTGTGAGTGGAGAGCTGGCACACATAGTCCGCATATATGTAACTTGCTGCGTGCCACACACTGCTGCACACACGTTGAGCCACCGATGCAAGAATGGGAAAGCAGACAAGAGGAAAACACCTGGTCTCACAGTAGTTGGTGTAAACAACTAGTCTACTACTGTAAAACTGCCGTACGTGGGCATACACCGACTTTCAAAAATTCAAAAGTTCAAAAATAAATTCGAAGGTCTCTGTGTTATACCACGAACCAGTCATATGTGCTGCACAATTTGTGCTGGGTAGAGCATCATCGTTAGCAGCCATTCCCATAGACTTGAGCATATCCTCTACTGTAACGCCGCCCTACTCCGTACGACCGGCAACGCAGCAGCATACCGTGGTACAGCCCGGGACCGACACCGACATCACCATTGCGGGCTCATCACTTCAATGAGAGAAGCTCATCCTCGTGGGCGTTGACAGCCATGATATGGAAACCACTCACCTTCAAATCCCGGTACAGCACTTCCCTCNGGCTGGATCCCTCAGAAATTGGTCACAGAATGTGGCGTCCTGCAGCAGCGGAGGTGGCGGTGCTGCTGTAGCTCGTA